CACGGTAGAGGCTAAAGGTTGAGTGTGATTTGTAGATAAATTATGCACTCTGTGAACATAAATACGCCTCAAATGGAGTTATTGAGTTCAAGTTCTGTATTTATATAGTTAAGGCTGCCTTATACCGAATGGGCTCTGGCGATTTGAATCCGCTTCATCTTGATCCCAGTTTTGCGAAGGTCTGTTCTCACATTTGAATCTCAACGCATCATTTAAGAATACTATAGATGTCCGGATTCAAAGAGCCTATTCTACATGGTATGTGCACTCTGGGATTTGCAACACGGCATGTAATCAAGCTCTGGGCTGAAAATGATGCAGAGCGATTTAAAACACTAAAGGTACTGAGCCTTTTTATAGTTTAGAATAGGTTCAAAGACAACTTCAATTAAAATGAAAACATTCTATAGAAACCCATTAACTGGAAATGTGGATTTACACATTCATTCAAATATAAGAGTAGTTTAAAAGAATGAACCCATCTTTATAATTGAGGTACGCATATTAACTTCGCATTTTGATTTGATGAATTGTTGGCGGCAGCGATTACTTGTGGAGTTGATACTCTTATTCCTAATGAACGTTACCTACCAGATAGAACACAATATTTGAAACTATGTTTCTGAAATTCAGTGCTGTCTTTCACCAAAGCTCTTCTATGGATATAAAAATGCAAAATCAGGCACGCTTCTCGTCTCCGGTAATTCCTGGGCAAACGCTGATCACTGAAACTTGGAAAGATGGGAATCGTATCATTTTCCAGACCAAGGTAAATCCAAGTACTTCTTTTACTACTGATTCATGAGTACGCTGATCTCAGGTTAAAGAGACGGGCAAAGTGGTGATTTCAAATGGATGGATTGTACTGACCGACGTAGCGACGTTGCCTGCTGTTCAAGACATCAGCACTTTGTCAAAGCTTTAAACTTTTCAAGGCGCACTAGTCGTTTATCAGAGATCAAGAGATCGTGAGACAATAAGCGCAAATCAAATGAACACTTTGAAAAAAGCCGACGATTACAAAAGAGACATACAGAATAATATGGAATTGACCCTCATTCACAACAACAATATCAAATATAGTTTTGAGAACTAGTGTTTAGCGAATCTATCAATCACTTCAAGGAGACAGAACGGAACTCAAACACATGAGTTATGGATGAGGGTACGCCCAAAATTCTTTCAACTATTAGCAAGTGATTCATAGGAACGCCTGAAAATAAGATAAAGATTGCATTTTGCTCCGGAAAACCAATCAAGCTCACCTTCACTTTTCAAACTCTGCTGTGATCTCTTCAATAGTTTTGTTCTTAGTCTCAGGCACATATTTGAAGATAAATATGCCGAAAAGAGTCAGGAAAAAAGTGAAAACAAGAAAAGAGTACTGTTTAATGACATTCTGAAACAATTTGCGTAATTACATTTCAGTTTTCTAGTCTTTCAGATCTAGGGCATTATGATCCTGCAAGACCAGGTCCCCCTCCTCTTTGTACTTTTAGATACTCTCCGAAATCTCTGCAAACGGAATCATTTCTAAAAAGCAATATAATTCTGCCTGGAGTTCCGTTAAATGAGATACTTTTTTGATTGCATATTGGAATTTAAGCTCTTTAGAACATGCTCAAATAAAGTAAAATCAGTTAATAGGTGAGGAGGAATGCTTAGTTGCCAGTTCATCAATACCTATTGTTTGGAATCAGAAACGTCAGAAGAACATGCATCAATTTTT